TTCCTCTTTCCAGAAAGAGTGAGTGAGTAGATGCTGTCCTTTAAGATTCCCCTCTTAGAAATCTACGTGGTCAAAAGAGCAGCAGGCACAGTACGCAGTCACATCTATAAGCCAGACATAGTGATTTTTCTCTTCTGTAGCTGGAGAGCATTTCATATAAACTAGAGATTATGCTGCACATATAATTCATATGTTCGTAAAATTTATTGTGTTCTTAGGGTCAGTGTAACCTTATTCCAGAGAAGTGCCACTTTCCTCTGATAGCTGAATGTAACCTGCACACATAATTGAAGGTCTCATTATGTTTCGGACAGCTTCTTTCTCGGCCCAGCCTTCTCCAAGAGGAGAGTGGGCAGGCAGCAAAGGGTACAAATAAGAAGCACTCTGTAAGTTCAGAATTAACAACCTGTAAATGGGATAAAGCAAGTTAAAAGGGATCCCCGTGAAGGATTTAAATGAAAGAGGTTTGAACTCTCAGTAGCAGTGGGAGACTTGCTGAGAGCCATTACCCTGGAGAAGTGTTACAGCCCTGGGAAGGGTCTACAGCACAAAACCCTCAGGAGGTGCAGGTGTCAGCTGAGAGCAACCGGATGTCTACAATTAAGGAGCAGTATAACGCCCTGAAGCCTGGAGCTATGGGATGGATCCAGGGGTAGGGCCACAGGTCTTTGAGGCTGGAAGCAGCAGCAGAGACAAGTGTCCTACAGCTGTGCTGGCCAGCTTTACCAACGGCAGCCATTTTGGAGCAGGAAAGCCCAATTGTGAAAATGCCTCCAGCAGGTTGGCCTGAGGGCAAGCCTGTCAAGAATTTTCTTGATTGATGTTTGATGTGGGAGGGCTCAAGTCACTGGGTGTCAGCACCACCCCTTGGGCTGAAGGCCCTGGTGGATTATAAGAAAGCAGGCTGAACACTCTATGGAAAACAAGCCAGTAAGCAGCACCCTTCCGTGGCCTCTGCTTCAGTTCCTGCCCCAAGGACTTTGATGTGGGAGTGTAAGATAAATAAACCCTCTCTTCACCAAGTTGTTATTGGTCAGGGTGATTTATCACAGCTAACTAAGCTAGCAGCCAGGCAGAGAATGGAGTCTTTCAAGGATCAAACAGATATAAGTCTCTCCGCGGGTTGGGTCCTGGAGGCTGGCTCCTGGTGCTTCTTGATGAAGGTCGAGACTTGAGTGTTGAGAGCTTTTTGTGAGTCTTAGCCTTGTGAGTCTTGGCAACAATAATCTTCCCTCTCTTGCGAGCAATCTGACAAAGACCAAAGTTCTTAAGTCTTGGGGCCCAGCTCCCCGATGGAGCCAGGAGCTAAGCTCTGAGGCTGCCCCTTCTCCTCTTTCTCCATTGGCTCCTGCAACAACTGGCTGGGAAGCCCCACAGCATCCAAATTTATAGGGCTGCCCGGGTGCAAGCTTGGCCCTGATTGGCTGGATGAAAGTATGCAAATAAAATGAAGAAAAGAGATCAATCCCGGCAGAGCTATCAAAATGGTAGGGGGAAGGGGAAATAAGCCCAAGCCATCCCTCCTCCAGCTAAAAATGGCCAATCAGGTCCACCAGTGTGTCTCCGCACAGGTAAGAAAGAGCTTAAGAAAGTCCTGGGCTGTTCTTGGTTGCTATGGTGACCCCGGCAGCCACCTGCTGCTTTTCCCACCCACCTACCAACACTGCTTTGTTCAGCCAGGGATTTGGTGTTTCAACCTCTTTTGTTTCTTTTTGTTTCTTTTTTCCGAGGCTACGGCTGCACTACAGCCTGCCAGAAGAGGGCTCTCTGTGGCTCCTTTGCCCCTGACGTTTGAGCCCCCGGGGTCAGAAAGCTCCCTGGGAATTGGGGGTGACAACACTTGCCCACTCCCAACGTGATTCTGTTTTAGAAAATCATAACGCACAGTCTCCTTCTACTAAACACAGAATCCATTCTTTTCCTTGGTTGTCTGGCCCTTCGGGGAGGGCTGGATGAACCAGCCCTGGAGCCGTTTCCTCCAAACTGAAAAAATTCCCTCCTGGAGCGAGGAGGGAGGCGCTTCGAGATCCAGGAAGTAAACCAGACAAATCCGGCGAAAACTGAAACTACCAGGATTCTCAGGGTCCCCACCCCCACCTCCGGGTTGTAAAAGCCATCGACCACTGGGGTGAGAAGTTCGCAAGTGCCATTGGCCAGGGGTCCTGCGGGGAGCAGCCGAGGCGCCGCTTTCCGGAATCCTCACCCAAGCTTGAGGTAGGCATTTAGGAGGATGCAGGCTCCACTAATCCCGCCCGCGGCTCCTGAGTTTACCAAGTGGGACTCTGGCGGACATGGATCCTGATCCGTTGTCAGTAGTAAATGTCAGCCATGCTTTTCTAGAAGCGCTCACAGGACAGGCCGTCCTGAGAGGTATTCCAGAGTACCCTTCCCATGTGTAGACGTGTAAATGTTCTCCTTATACCATCGAACCAATAAACAGTAAAGTAAGTAGCTTGGCTGTAGGCAGGGAAATGGCTGGGGTCTAGAGAACCCCTTAGCAACTCCTAAGAACGTTCAACTAGCACCAAGAACTAATACAAGTTTAATACAACTCACTGGGAGCTCAAAACTCACCAAAAACAGCTTTAGACACAAGACTGAAGGTTAGACACAGAACCCTGGCAGGTTAAGTCTTTGAATAGGAAGCAAAGGGTGATATAATGTAGTCAAGTGGAAAATGCCAGATAAAACTTAAGAGTCGCATGTAGAGGTGAGAACTGTACTAGCCAGGCTTGTCTCTGTAAAGTATTTCTTTAGTAACCATCATCACAGGATGAGAAAAGTAATTAATATAGCAGGGGTGTGTGTGTGTTGTGTGTGTGTGTGTGTGTGTGTGTGTGTGTGTGTGTGTGTCTAGAATAATAGTAAGCCCAGATTCAAATTCCAGCTGCACAAATTAGTAATATCATCCAAAGCAAATAGATTTCTTTTTCCTGTGCCCTATTTGTGTTGACTTTTTTAAAAGAGCCTGAAAATAACTATCTTAGGGCATTGTTTCAAAATGAAGTAACTTAAATTAGAATCTGTGCATATGCCGAGGACTTCGTGGCTTTGTGTAAGCATGATAGTATCAGGGAAGGAATGGTTTTATGTTTTGGAGATGGTTTCAAGATACCTTAGTAGGAGATACTTACAACAAAGGCAACGATAAAAATCATACAGGTATTAAATAAAAATCAAGTTGTAGGAAGAATAATACAGCCATACTGCACTGTTACTTAACCCATCAATGAATAATATTTATGAAGCCATGGGTAATGTCAGGTTTCAAGGATGATCCGATCAACAATGTAATAAGAACTATAGTGAGGGAAGGAGAGCAGAGGAAATCTAAATTCCAAGCATCTAAGTCTGTAAGAAAGACTGACTGCCTCGTATGCAAAAGGAACCTACTAAACTAACATAGGAAAAGCTGAGATTTAAAACGACCACACATTACCTTACTTCTTTCTGCTGATGTACTCATTGTTCTCACATATCCATCCACATTCCCTCCACTTTCATCCTATATCTTGTTACAGTTTTGGTTATTAAACAACACACACACACACACACACACACACACACACACACACACACACACACCCAATGGCTCCCATGTGCTACAGATTTGGTCTCCAGGGCAGTGTTTAGAGGTGGGCCTTTTGGAAATGAAAGGCCATGAAGGTGATGTCCTAATCAGTGGATTTCCTTTCATGGATTCTTGAGTTGACAAGTAGGAGACTGGAAACCAGGAGGCAGAACCTAATTGAGGGAAGCAGGTCAGTGTGGATGTGCCTGTGAAGGACCATGTCACCCAGACTTCCCCTCCCATGCTCTTCCTAGCTGCCTTTAGGGAAGCAGCTACCTCACCCTGTCCTTCCTCTGGAGGACTGTGGACAGTCAAGGCTGCCCACCATCCACTGAAACCTAGGAAATCGGGAGCCCAAACAAGTCTGCTCATTATTTTGTCACAGAAACAGAAAAGACTAACACATGCTGAAACTTAACCAGCATTCACATCTTTCCCCCTCTGCTCCGCCTTCATTCTCTTTTCTTTCACACTTCTTCCCTCCTCTTCCATGCTTGCTCTAGACTGCCTTCCCACACCCCTTCCCTCGCCTATCTCTCCCACCCCTTCCCTTCCCCTTTCTCTCCTCATTCAATACTAGAAATATAAATGAATGTGAAATATTTGAGGCCTCTGAATAAAATCTGAAATGAGAAACTAACCCTTTCACTTATTTTATAATGTATATTTTGATAAAATGGATCCCTTGTCTTAATGTATCCCTTAGAAGCTTTTGCATAACCCAAGGCAAATCTCTGAATAACTCTGTTTTTAATTATTAGAAATACTGCATGCTTCTTTTAAAATATTACGGACTACCAGGCATGAGGAGGCAGCTACTTATCTAGGGTAACAGGAGAGATTCTGGGTGGTTTGGCCTTGGGTATCATGTCCCTCCACTTGAACACATTCTCAGTCTATCCCTTCCCCCAGTCACAAGCGCCTCCTCTCTCTGCCACTTTCTCCTGCTGTTAATTCAGTGCATTCAGGAAAGAAGTACGCTTCATTTTTACCAATAATTTAAATCTGTTTGGACACTGTCATAAATTCTATAAAGTATGCCTTTACAAACCCCAATCATATATTATAGAATGTAAGCATCACATAAATATACATTTGTATATTGCCTGTGCTTGGGTGTGCATGTAGATCTTACTTAACCACATTTCATTTCTTTGATATGAAAGTTTTCATCCCACAGCATTGGAGAAAACTTCCCTGCCTGACAGTCAAAACCAAAAGTGGGACGTGATTTATACGAACAGTAGCCACACACACCAATTATACACATAAGTCTGAAGATCTATAAAAGAAAGAAGGGGCAGAGTCAGTTTGCCTCTGGGATTCTGCATGAGCATGAGCATTGAAGAATGAGGGGAAGCTTTGGACCGACATTTCACCTAGCTCTACTCACCAAATGCAGATCTGAATTGCAGAAAGGTTCTGGGACTTCCTGCAGCTGCAGTTTACTTTGTATGTATGTATATGTGTGTATACATATGTATATATATGTATAGATTAGGAGCACACTGAGATTGATGAATTTACATATTTTGCAAATCTGAATTTCAGTAGAAGCTGTGTGTGTACTCAAAACAATGCCTACCTAAGCCTGGGTACACAGACACAGGGTTATAAAGAACTGATCATTGGCAGGTGAAGTGCACACATCTGTAATGCCCACCACTTGGCAGTGAAGGCAGAAGGTAGATAGCCTGGGCTACATAGCACGACTGCTGTATCAGAAAAGAAACAAATTTAAAAACAACAAAAATTTAAAAAAGAAAACACCTAGAAATGATCATTGAAACCACTCTAGAGAGAATTAACAGAGGACTGAAGACCTAGCTTTTAAAAAAAAAAAAAAAAAAGTAGATGGAGGAGAAAAAAATTCAGCAAAGAGAAAAAAAAATCCCAAATCAAAAGAATGCGCGCGCGCCCACACACGCCCACACACACACAGACTCTCCACAGTGCTTGGTGAAGACTTAAATATTTCCTGAGTCGGTGGAAGAAATAAATTTCATGAGGATGGCAGAGTGCAGACAGTCACAAATGGTAAGACAGACAGAGCTAAGAGCATAGACAGAAATGTATAGTTTGAAAATGTGCCAATCCTTTGGCCTCGACACCAGTTCTGAGATTTTTGTTGTAAAGCAATTACAGTTGTCCATGACTTTATCTATGGTTTTAATTTAAAATTTCATAAATCCTGAAGCATCTACCTATACAATAAAACATTTATTCACTATTTAATCAATTAGCAACAGATGATCATTTAAATCAATATGAAGAACAAAAAGTACTGAGTGTCAACAGATGATGATCATTTAAGTTAATATAAAGAACAGAAAGTACTGAGTGTGTGTATATGGACATGAGCAATGTGTGTGCGTACATAGATTGTAAAAATGACAAATTTGTAGTCAAGATTATATTCTAATTTCTGATACTAAAAATACTTTTCATCAGTTAATTTTAACTATTTCCCATTACTAATGTAATCAGATTTAACTTTAGCCCACCACCCAGCTGGGTTACTGGGAATACATAATTAGGTGATTTGCTCTGATGGAATATTAACACTCAATTAAGTTTATTATCTGTTAAAACAACCACTTTCTAGCCTAAATTTATTTCTACAATTAGTATTTTACTTTTTCTCCTCTGGTCATATAGAGGTTGGTCCTTAAGAAAAACGAACTGGATTCCCATTCTACCCAGAAAGTGCCGCGCTTCCTGCTTGACCCCCCGCCCGGGCGCAAGTGCTGCGCAGCGCTAAGAACGTCATGCTGTTGCTGAGGAAGACAAAACTGGCTCAAAGTTCCAGACTCTGATCGTTTTAATGGCCGAGACAGGAGGTGGCAGCCTAAAACCCCCGGCCTCCGTGGTATAGATGAAGTCTCAGGTTACAGCGTGAACCAGCCAGAAAAGCAGCAGCCCGCCCGAGGAGCCCAGGCACAAGGGGGAACGCGCTGCCGGTGGTCGGGGGCGACTGTCGGGAACCGTGAAAAAAAAGATGAGCACACTCGGCTGTGCCCCCAGGGACGACGGTGAGGAGAAGGACGAGGACGTGAGTGAACACGGCGAGATCGATCCGAAGCCTAAAGGCAAGAAAGAGCTGGAGCTGCACGCGAAACGGGAACCGGACGAAAGGGCCGTCCGCATCCCCATCCCGGAAGTGCTCCAGCAGCGGCTGGCGGACGACTGTTACTACATCAACCGCAGGCGGCGGCTGGTGAGGCTGCCGTGCCAGACCAACGTGGGGGCCATCCTGGAGTGCTACGTGCGCCACTTCTCGGCCAGCGCGCTGGCCTCGGGGGACCGGCGCCCGCAGCCCCAGCGCGCAGCGCCCGAGAGGAACGTGGGCCTTTGCAGGGAGATGGCGGACGGGCTGCGCATCACCTTCGACCACGCGCTCCCCTTGGTGCTGCTCTACCCCCAGGAACAGGCACAGTATGAGATGGTGACTTCCTCCACCTTTTTCTTTCCCACGGAGGAGAAAGCCACCACCGATCCAGCCAGGAGCCAGGAGGGGCCCTGGCCTGGCCCGTCCACACCGCAGCCCTCCTCGGAGAGCCAGCCCGTGGCGGGGCCGGCCGCCCCCAAGAGGCGCAAAGCGGAGGCGGAAGCGCCGCGGGCTCCCAGGAGGTCCATGCGACACACCACCCACTGGCAGTCCGAGGACCGGGCCTCCCCTCAGGCCAAGCGCAGTGTGCCCAAGCTGTTCCCGCACTTGCAAAAGACACCTGTGCACGGCGCATCACCTTCCCCCCTTGCTCTGGCTCTAGGGACGGAAGGGAGTGCAATGTTTGCTGGCTTGGAAGGGACAAGTGAGGAAATAAATGAGGTCCTCTCCTGGAAGCTTGTGCCTGACAATTACCCACCAGGACACCAGCCACCTCCTCCCTCATACATTTATGGCGCCCAGCATTTACTGCGATTGTTTGTGAAACTTCCAGAGATTCTTGGGAAGATGTCCTTCACTGAGAAGAATCTGAAAGCGTTACTGAAGCACTTGGATCTCTTTCTGAGGTTTTTAGCAGAGTACCAGGCTGAGTTCTTCCTGGAGTCGGCGTATGTCTCCGCCTGCGAGGCGCACTACAGCAGCAAGAACCCCAGGACAATCTGTTAAAGTTTTGAGGGCTCTGTAAACACAGCCGCGCTCCACCTGGCTCGGTGTTTTCTGTTCTAGGTGGGCCCACCCTGGGGGAGGAGGGGCTCGGAGAGCGGGCAGGCTTGGGTATTTGAGGTATTCCCATACTGTAGTTTTTTTTGTTGTTGTTGTTGTTAAGAATGACTTCCTGAGCTATGTGTGGTTGTCATGCCCATAGGGAGGTAAAGTGGCTTCATTAATTAAAAACAAACAAACATACATGCTATTTCACCGGCTGTGAGTGACAGCAAGAAGCAGCCACTGCTGTGTTCGGAGGGAACATTCATGAAAATAAACATGGGTTAGGCTGTCTGTCAGACATCACAGTAGGTTGTTGGCAAGAACCACACTGTAGATATTTCTTAGCATTCAAATGTTTTTGAAGACTTTTCTAGTGTGATGAGACTAGAGAACTGTTCAGCACATGTGAGCTCAGCACATGGACATAGGGTCATCTCAATATTTTAGGGGAAAATCTTCTGACAGTAAAAGAGAATTTGCAACTATAGAGTCTGTAACTGTTCCCTTTCTGTGAAACGTTATTCTTGGTGATCTAAATAAAGCATTATTTGTCTTGTTTGAAAAAAATGCTAATTCTTCACAAAACCTCATTATTCTCATACAAAATTTACCATTGGTGGATAGATGTAAAATAAAAAGAGAAAACCAATCATTCATAAGCTGTTGCACAAAGTAGATTCCTTAGTTTTGAAGAAAACTGACAATAATTGATATTAGATATTACAATCTCAATAAGAACAAAGGAAACAATAAGCTTTGGAGAACTAATTAACATTTTAAATTACATTGTTTATATATTTAAGAATTATGATATAATTTTCAAAAGCATTTTACTGATTAAAACAATTTGTAATATGATATAATGAACAGAGTTAATACTGAATGATGCTGTATTTTTTTTCTAGACAGGGTTATCTTTGTAATAGCTCTGGCTGCCCTGGAACTAGCTCTGCATACCAGACTGGCCTTGAACTCCAGAGATCCACCTGCCTCTGCCTCCCGAGTGCTGGCAGATGCTGTAATTTTTTTTTTACTATGAAATAAGCAGTTTTTATGTTGCAATAAAACACCCTAAGAAGAATATATTTCTCTAAATACTCCTGATGACTAGGAAAGCTAAACTGCTGCACCTTGGGAAAGATTAAAGTTTTCAGGTAACTCTTAATTTACCAATAGATTTTGCAAATAAATATTTCTTAAAAATGCTTGGCAATTGGGGTAGACAAGAAAAGTTCAGAATTATTCAGTGTGTGGGATCAACCGTAAAGGCAAGGGTCACAGGAAAGGGGCTCAGAGTCTGTGGTGCATAACTGAGCAACCTGTTCCCTTCAGGGTGGCCATTCCTTACACGTCTGGAAAAGCGAAGTCAGTGCTGACGGCATCAGAAACCCGGCGTAGAGCCTGTAAAGAGCACTGTGCTTCAGGGAGATAAGGAGTCTGCCTTCCGCAGATACTAAAGCTCAAAAAGTAAGAAATGAAGGATGGACGCAGGAAAGGAGGGCGCAGATTATGGGAAGCTCTCCTCTGGTTTTCAGGGTGGGAAAATGGAAGGGAGGCTTAATATCATTGTTTCTTTTCTGCACTAATTACCTCACATTATCAATATATGAACCTTGGAGGGAGTAATTATCACATCATATTTCCTCATCATTGATCACCCTCACGTGGCCCAGAACACAGGTCTAAGGTGCTCAGTACCCAGGAGCAGAATACACAAAGGGGAGAAGGGTCATTTTATTATTATTATTATTATTATTATTATTATTATTATTATTATTATTATCTTATGTATATGGGTGTTTTGCCTGTATGTATGTCTCCATACCATGTGCATGCCTGGTGCCCATGAGGACCAGAAGATGGCAGTGGATTCCCAGGACCTGGAGGTACAGATGGTTGTGATCTGTAATCTTCCATATTGGTGCTGGATATTGAACCCAGGTCCTATGGAAGAGCAGCAAGTGCTCTTAACCGATTAGCCCCCAAAATGTAAATTGGAAATTGCAGATATTCACTCAGGAAACTGAGGCAGGTGGATTTCCGGTGAGTTTGAGGCCAGCCTGGTCTACATAGAGACACCGTCTCAAAAAAAAAAAAAAAAAAAAAAAAAAGGAAGGAAAAAGGTTATGTGTTATGTTATATATAAAAGGCACTATACTGAGACACTCCACTTACTCTCTTTCTTGGGTAAAGAGGAGAGGATGATGCTGATTTGTGAAGGCAGGTTCAGAATTAGGCAAAGCAGCTAACTTCTAACACACAGGTGAGAGGAGAGAGGCTCATGGTAGGTGCTGTGATTTATGTAGTTGGGGTGCATTGCCCAAGGATTCATTTTGTAGACACTTGGTAAGTGGAAGAGCTTTGAACAGGTAGGGCCTAAAGTAAGGTCAGGAAGTCAGTGGGATGTCACCTTCAAATCTGAGTTCCCCACAGGCCCATTTCAGTTCCCAATAAGGCCCTGGTTAGTTTTATTACAAGACCCTAACAATAATAAAAAGAGCAAGACTGGTTCAGAACCCCCACCCCCAACCCCACCAGCTTCCTACCCTGCCACAGGAGCTTTGCCTTCTGGGCATGGTGGGTTCCCTTTCTGTTTCTTCTTCGTATTCTCGCACAGCTAGGGGCTGTGGCTCGGACACCAACACCATACCGTTCAGACCTTCCAGCCAGGAGAGTCACGAAGCAAATAAAATGCTTCATAATTACCCTGCCTCGGGGATTTTGTTATAACAACACAAAACAGACTAAGACAGATAGAGACAAGAGGAATGGGAGGCCAAAGGAAACATTAATGTCTTCATCATTCACAGCAGAGTCAATCAATTCTGTCTGCAAATGAAAGATGAGGCTCAAATCTCTTGAAGTGTTTTACATAATTTTACTGCTTAACCTTACAGGGATCCTGAGGAAAGTACTTAGTGAAGTGAAAAAAAAAAGGTAAAGTTACTTGAAATTCAGCGATTCCTTCCATCTCGCTAGGGTGTCTTTCCTTCCTGTAGAACTCAATTATAATTTAAAGTGGCACTCATGATTCCATCTTCATAACTGAATTTATTTCTGTGTATGCATCCTACCGCCTGCACACACATACAGCGATGTCTAGACTAATTTTCTTCAATGTTAATAGTGACACTGTGAATTAAGACGAATTTCACTTAATTCATTATATTTAATTTCCCATCTTGCTTAATTTAGTCATAATAAGATAAATTACTGTTTGAAAAACAATGAAAAAAAATGACTTAAGCAACTAAAGAGATGGATGAGCCACTTAAGGAGACAGGAACCAGATTTACTTTGTTTGCTTTTATAGGGGGTAATAGGAGACCCCAGAGATCAACTTGTGACACACTAAGTTTTGATGCCTGAGAAATGTGTGAGTTGAGATGTCAAAAGAACTAAAAACAGTGTGTGTGTGTGGGGGGGGGGGGGCTGGCCCAGGACCATATCCACAGTATTAGATCCAGAGTCTCAGTGAAAGATGCAGAAATTACAGCTAAACAAGTATGTAGTGTTGCAGAAGCAAAAGTCGTTTTTTGGTTTTGCTTTGTTTTTGAGACAGAGTCTAAGATAGCTCACTCTAGCCTCACACCACGGTGTAGACAAGAATAACCCCAAACAACTCTTCATTCTCCTGCTACCACTTCTCAAGGATTGGGCTTGCAGGCAGGAGCCGCCATGCCCAGCCACAAAGACAATTTGTTTGTTGTACAGGAAGAAAGAATAGCCCACTATTTCAAATGTTACTGAAAGTTACAACAGGATGAGAACTGAGCAAAAAGGGATGCCTTAGAATCATGGATGTGGGAGTGATCTTGGTCTTGCAATAGACGGGATACACAGCTCTTGAGAGGTTCCAAACTCAAAGCCAGCTTGAAGTCGGCCAAAAAGAAAACAGGAGAGCAAGGTGGGGGGTGGAGAAAGAGCATGGCAGCAGGGCCGTGGGAGGGCAAGGGCAGCCTCTTTCAGCTAGTGTTTCAGCTAGCCTCTTTCAGTCTAGTGTTGTCTCAGCGTGAGGTGGGATGTATGGCTGGGAGGGGCACAGGGGCTAATCAAATAAGCAATCTTCTTGGGGGAAGAGAGAAGTACAGTGGAAGATCTCTTGGGCTGTCTTGACAAATTAGACTCCAGAGTTCTAAGTGGCATGTGATGCTGTTGAAAGGTGAAAAGCCATAATCCTCATTTCACTAAGCCTCGTATTAGTCTCACCGAAGTGTTTAGACACAAGCTATTTCAGATTTACCATAATGCTATTTCCAGAGGTTTGAAGCAGGGAAATAAAGGGACATATAAGCAATGGAAGTCTGACACACTTATGAGACTGTATGCTGAAAATAATGGCACAATGAAGGTATAATCACAAGCACAGCACTGTGACTTTAAGAAGGAAAGATCCAGGTAAAATTCCAAAACCACCCAATGCAATGCTAGGATCTATTGCCATGAGACCTCAATGAACAATAAATAGTGGACTGAAACGGCTTCAGATATTTCCCTCAAAACTGCAACTGAATGAGACAATGAGAAGACTTCAAATTACAGTAAGTTTATTACTATGATGGTTAACATTCATTTTCAGCTTGACAGGCTCTAGAATCACTTAAGAGGTGAGCCTCAGGGCGTGTCTGGGAGAGGTTTTCCTGATTGGGCATACCAAGGTTAAGGAGAGTCATTCTCAGTGTGGGCAGCACCTTCCCATAGGCTGGAGGTCTTGAACTCAAACCCAGCCGAAAGCTGCCTGAGCACCAGTCTTCATCTATCTCTGCTCTCTAACTGAAAATACAATATGAACGGTTGCCTCAAAACCCCGCCATGATGCCTTTCCCAATGGGATGGAATGTGCCCTGAATCTGTGAGCCAATAATAAATCCTTCCTTAAGTTGTTTATGTCAGGTGTTTTGTTACGCCCAAGGAGAAAAATAATGAATACAATTATTAGAAAACAAAACAAGACAAAAAGCCTCTTCAAAAAGAGCTGGAGAGACAGCACGGTGGTTAAAAGCACTTATTACCCTTGCAGAGGACCCAACCCAGGGTGCTCACAATGATCTGAAGTTCCAGTTACCAGGGACTTGACACTCTTGTTTAGCCTCCAAAAGCAACTGCACACACATAATATACATAAACTCATGCAGGTGTGTGCACACAGGCATGCACATGTAGCTGGGAGTTTTCCTGTGTCCCACCTGGCCCGTGGTCAGGACAAATCTCTCTCCTCTGCCAGTCCTGCAGCTGCTTGGACCCGTGTAAACACACAGAGGCTTATATTAAATAAAACTGCTTGGCTTTAGCTCAGGCTAACTATTGACTAGCTCTTACACTTAAATTAACCCATAATTCTCATTTATGTTTAGCCATGTAGCTTGGTACCTTTTCTCAAAAAAGCAAAACACTAATTTTAAAAAAATGTCAAAAAGCCCAAAGTTAACACGCAAACTTTTCTGCAGGAATATTTTTCTCTGTAGTGTGTAAAAGACTGATGGTCTGGCAATATTTGTTTCATAATGAAACAAAGAATAGACCTAGTTAAATACTGAAACATACAAAGTACTATTTGTTAGTACTTACTACCAAGTTTTTATATGTGCCAGGCACTGTTTTAAGTCCTTTGAATTGTTCACATGTAATTCCCACATCCCTGTAAGGATAATAATGTGAATGTCCTGCATTTTAAAGCTGTGTAAGCCGGGCGTGGTGGCGCACGCCTTTAATCCCAGCACTCGGGAGGCAGAGGCAGGCGGATCTTTGTGAGTTCGAGGCCAGCCTGGGCTACCAAGTGAGCTCCAGGAAAGGCGCAAAGCTACACAGAGAAACCCTGTCTCGAAAAAACCAAAAAAAAAAAAAAAAAAAAAAAAAAAAAAAAAAAAAAAGCTGTGTAAATGCAGCTCCACCTCCCACAAGCATACAGTCCAAAGGGCCCAGATTGCACATTCTGAGAATGTACCACTCTATCTATCAGCAGTGGGATGATAGTACATCCAGACAGATAATTTTCTTTCTACAGGGCAGATAATACAATTTGTACACTGTAGGGACACAGAAAACACTTATTACAAGCTTTCATTTTTATATTATTTTATATAACTTAACAAGATTCTAGTAGTTTTTCCTTAAGAACAGGTGGATAAAATATCACCAAAGAAATGCAAGGTGTCAGGAGAGGATGGGGGCATGTTTAGCAGCTGAAGTCACTTGCCTCGATGCCTGATTGTCTGAGTTCCATCCCCTAGAATCCATATGGTAAAAAGAGAGAACAAACTAACATTGTCCCGACCTCTACATACATGTCATAGTATGTATGTGCATACACTAAATAAATAAATGTAAATTCTAAAAGGAATATAGAAGAGGGGAAAATATTTACTTAGTATATAATAAGAAGAAACCAAAATCTATTCTCAATTCCTCAAAAGTCAAAAGAAGAGTATTCTATTGAATTCTTTAAATATACAATCCCCTTTTGCTTCTTGCTATGTGTTATTTCTGATGTTAAAAATTGAAAGTTAAAATTTAATGTGAAAACATGTTTTTGAGCTAAAGGATATCCAAAAAACTATAATAACTGCAGCTTTTTTATATCTTCTTTTGTCCAAGAAATCAAAAGATGAATCTCAACTATAAAGGAAGAACAAAAAGTAAGAAGTTAAAGTATAGAGCTATGATATACACTACCAGCAAAGCGGCCCACTTTTAGGAGAGACCACAATGGAGTTCTCAGGCAGCACATGATCACTGGCCTCCCTCATGCCTGAGAAAGATGCTTTGCTAACACAAAGGGAAAAAAAAAAACCATGAACCTCTGAGAACAGCAATCCTCCTTAATTCAGCTGCTTTTCAAAGCAGTCACTTGTAGGTGGGAAAGCAAGCTACACATCTATATCTGAACAAAATAGTGAGAATTCCCAAGTCTCTCTATCCCTGCCAAACCTGCAATCTTCCCCATTTCAACACACTAACTGAAACGTCAAGGAATATGAACTCAACCTGTCTTAACCCCCAAGAAAAGCAGATCTGACAAGTAATGATCAATACCAAGGAGCAAAATCTGGGCCTGGAGATCAACCATCCATGTCTAGGCCTGCTTCAAGGCTTTATTATGACAAGAGCCTAATCACAAACCAGCCCGGAGAATCTTCATGAGACTCCTCAGAAAACCCAATGGAAACAGTCCCCAGTGAGCCCTACACACTGAGCACAGGTGACAGACAGCTGCTAACCATGCAGAGCCTAAATTCAGACAAAGCCTACAGTATCCAACCTAGATGTTACAATTGGCTTCTACTATAATGCTATGCAATGACAGAAAATCTTTAAATATTATTTGTGTTAACTAACCCATGCAAGCACTTTCTAGACGTATGTAGAACTGGGCTGTGGAGACAGCTCAGTGGATAATGTGCTTGCTGCACAAACATGACAACTTGAGTCTGCTCCCAAGTACTCACGTACAAGTCAAACACTTCTAGAACCACACTGCAGGTAGGCAGAGACTAGCAGATTCCTCTGAGCTCACTGGTCTATCTCAATCTGTGAGCTCCGGGTTCACTGACAGGCCCTGTCTCAAAAAGATGAGAAAGCAACCGAGCAAGACATCTGAAATCAAGCTCTGGCCTCCATGTGCACATATGCCTCCCACACATGAAGATATACTATATATTCACACAAAACGTACAGAGAACAAATACTTAATTTTTGCCGTTTGTAAAATATGCTTAAAATTTAGTAGCTTACCTTAGACCAAAGATGTGTGATTGTTCATAATTCAGTAAAGAACGAATCTTAGCTTCAGAGTTCAAAATGATAAGTCTATCGATTATATCCTAAAAATAACAAAGAAACACTGAGACTCTTCTTAACAGAAGCTACTTGAATAAATTAAAGCAATAAGTATTCATTTAGATTTGTGATTCTAAAATATGGATCATCCACATTGGAACTACTGGTAACCATGAGATGTTGGGTTCAAAGATGTCCAGACCCATCCTAGAGTTTGTGAACTCCCTGGTCTAGGTGAGGCCTGAGCGTTAGGATTTGGAAAAGTTTTTAAACTGAGTTCAATGTTCACCCCAAGTGGAGGACCATAACATACATCCAAGTGTTGAAGCGGCAAGCAGGTTGTATGTACAATAAAACAAAGATAAAAGTGCCCCAAATACAAACAACTCTGAAAAGCAAATGTAAAATCGACAAATGTGAAGCAAGAACAGTTGATAGGAATATGTTTATCTAGTAACTACTTCAGGCTGTGTGAATAGCCACTCTAGCTTGTGTAGTTAAGTAGTTTAGAATCCTGGAAAAATATCATCATCACCTAGGAAACAAAGACGACTGACAAAGAGATGACTGACAGATAGAAGGGCATACAGATACACAGATTGTCTACTTAAGAACAATTAAGACGCTGGGCGGTGGTGGCGCACGCCTTTAATACCAGCACTTGGGAGGCAGAGCCAGGCGGATCTCTGCGAGTTCGAGGCCAGCCTGGGCTACCAAGTGAGTCCCAGGAAAGGTGCAAAGCTACACAGAGAAACCCTGTCTCGAAAAGCCAAAAAAAAAAAAAAAAAAGAACAATTAAGACAGTATGCCTACATGTGAGATTCCAGCATTAATATTCTGAAAGTTCCTTTAGATTTCCTAGTATGTAACCATCCCTCAAAACTGGAAGCAACCAGCTGTCTCAGGCACAGACAGCATTAGTCCGCCACACGGTCTTTTCTGTGTCAATACAGCCATCTCTACAAGTTTTTCTTGAAAGCCTCGCTTTCTGCCTAATGTCATGACCCATACTGTATAATCCCAGGACTCCAGAGGTTAAGATAGAAAGGCTGCCTTGAGTTTGAGACCAGTCTATAGTGTGAGACTATGTCTCAGTCAAAAACAAAAACAAAGAACAAAGAAATGAAGTAATTAAAAACAAAACACAAAGCCCTGTCTTTTGTGTATATCTTGAGTACAAATCTAAATTTTCTTTCTATATAAATTCATCAATGGATTAAATACAACATCTAACTGTGGCCAGTAGAGCAAAAAGGTTTAGGAAGGGAACACACTGATGTTTATGAATGATGACAAGGGAACAGTTCCAGCTCATGAATAAGAGGTCAGGGAATAAATTATAAGAGGAAGAAGTAATAAATAATTCAATGTACATTTGAGAAATACTACTGCAAACACAATAAAAACAGATGGGGGAAGCTTATTCTAGCAAGATCGAAGGCTCAACACTTAAGAATGTATATCTTGGGTAGGGATATAGCACAGTTGGTAGAGTGTCTGCCTAGCATGCACCTGGCCCTGGGTTTGATTCTGAACACAATATAAACAAGGTATGGTGGCTCATATGCCTATAATCCCTGCACCCAGGAGGTGGAGCCAAGAGGATCCGAAGTTCAAGGACATCCTTGGGAATACAGCAAGTTGACGGCCAATCTTGACTACATGAGAACCTATATCATATATATGTCTGTATGTATACTATCTCATATATACTATAATTATATCATATATATCCTATCTCATATATATCCACATTCACAAGACTATTGCTATCTTGTAGGAATGCCAATAACTAATACATAAGTCTACATCAGAAAATATTAATGAATAGAGAATAAAAAGAGTTATTTTTTTTTAAGTTCTGTCACTGTAGTCTGCAGTCTTGTTCTTAGCTGGACACTGGGTTCCAATCATCATGTGACGTAATGAACATACACCTCACATTCATCCACCCAGCTGCAAAGTCATATTCTCCACAGATGTCTTCGTCACTTAGCACAAATTTGCACAGCTATCTGAACCCAAAGCTAGGCATACTGACAATTGGTGACACCTGGGAGATCTGAAGTTCTGGTTCCGAATCTAAGCAGTAGATTAGGACAAATAAAATGATGGGAAGATATGGTATTGCCAACAAGCTGATGGGAGAAGAAACTGAAACATTCTACCAACAATAATCTCCTTTCAAATAACACATGTTACAGTAAATAATCTCTTCTTCAAAGAGGATTACATTGATGTAGCACCACCCTGAGAAGAAAGCAGAGCTCCTGGGAAGCCTGCCTCATGAAGAGCTTTGGTTTCTAAGCACCACAGCCTGTCAGGGGAAGAATCAGCTTCTTAAATCAGACTGAGTCAGTAAAAAGCTAGCGGAAGGCCTGGAACTAACAAACAGTCTGCAGAAATACCATTTCACAGGATATTGTCCATGTTGAGAATATGTTCAGTATGCTAGCAATCAGCCTAAAACCAGGGCGAGATAAACAAAGAAGAATTCAGTATAAGTAGTATTATAGACTATTATTTTAACCAGGCAAAAATGTGTTACATTTATACAGGATAAGGAATGGGTCAATAAGGCCCTAAAACTGTACCTTCCAAAACTGGGTTTCTTTGGTTAGCCTGTGGTAAAAATTAATCCAGTCAAGGTCCTTCCTTGGGACTTCTCATTGTGGGGAACTAGAGGAAAAGACCACTCTTCTATACTGTGAGAAGGTTAAATACCAACCTCCTAAAAGTTTGTCTGTGTCCTAATCCCCAGAACTTGAATGTCTGGAAAAGGGGTCTTTGAAGAGGGAATTAAGTTAAAAATCTTGATCATCTTATGTTATCCAGAAGGACCTTTATAATCCAAGACAAATATCCTGAGAAAAGAACTACAGAGGAAGATTTCAGCTAGCGAGCGATGGTGGCCATGTAAAGATGGCTAGGCATGTGAAGAACTGAAGTCAGGCAGCAACAAGACATGAAATGTCTAAGATACATTTATGTGATTAATAGATAGATGATAGATAGATAGATAGATAGATAGATAGATAGATAGATGATTGATAGATAGATAGATAGATAGATAGATAGATAGATAGAGATGGATAGACAGATGACAGATATAGATGGCTAGATAGATGGAGGATAGATAAATAGATAATAGATAGACAGACGGATAATTTCAATAGAATTATGTATGCTACACAGGGTGATAATGTTTCCTCCAAAGCCACAGGCTGTGACAAAAACCCTAGAGCCAAGCACTGTAAACCTTCCTTTGGGTTGTTGGTCAGGTGGTCCAAGAGATCCCCAGAACAATACAGGCTTTTGTAGCTGTCCTTAGCTGCCTCCCAGAATTTTAAGGTTAAGACCTTGAAGACATGATATACTCTAGACACAGGACTGGGAGGCACTGAGCTGCAACTGATCTGGATGTCTCCACCCTGAACGCATAGTATCAGAAAGTGCTATGCAAGCTGCCAAGGGAGAAGAGAACCCCCAGTTCTCATTAGCTGCGAAGTCTATGAGCCACAACAATGGCTGGCCTGGCAAAATGTCCTTAATGTGCAACAGTGGCACTTGTATCTTGTGAGTAACCAACAATTGTGTAATTGGATTTAAGGTCTGCTTAACAGGGGCAGTTTATGCCTGATACTGCAAATCTAGCCGATTCCTCGTGCCTGGAAAAACCATATACTATAAAGGAGAACCTATAACTATAAATTTCCAAAGCTGCTACAATTTCTAACTGTGTTCTAAATACATGTCCTTCTACTCAGAGAGGTGCAGCTTCCACTCCTTTCCAAAGGAGCTTCTTTTTGAGTCGATGGTGACTACTGCAGAGATCCATAATGGATCCCAATGCAGAGAACGAGTAAACACGGGGAACACAACTCAGGCTGACACACGTTCAATGCAACCCCTATACCTACGGCTCAGGGAAGCGGGCAGAAGAGGGGACAAAAATATTGAATAGACAGAGAGCCAGGATGTCAGTAGCAAGACAGTATCTTCTGGACTTGATAGAGAAGCGACATCTATGAAACTTCAACAGTTATCATTGTCTAAATGAAACCTGATTAATGACGGCACCAGTCAACACGACAAAGTGGATGAGAGAAATTTTACAAGGTCCCACTTCTAAGAGAAGGCCAGAAGCAATCAATGGCTGCTGAGAGAGAAAAAAATCAGTTTTCCCTAGGGTGAAGCTGCCTAAGACGTTACTGAGCTGGATAGTTTTAGGTCAACTTGACATCAGCTAACGTCATCTGAGAGGAGGGAACCTCAATTAAGAAAATGCTTCCATAAGATGGGACTGTAGGCAAGGCTGTAGGACATTTTCTTCACTAGAGATTGGTGAGGGAGGGCCCAGCCCATTGTGGGTGGTGTCAGCCCTGGGCTTGTGGTCCTATAGCTTATGCTATAAGAAAGGAGGCGGAGTAAACCATAAAGAGAGAGCCAGTAAGCAGCACCCCTCCATGGCCTCTGCATCAGCTCCTGTAGTACTAAATGGACTCATTAAGAGGGTGTGTGTGTGTCTGTGTGTGTGTGTGTGTGTGTGTGTGTGTGTGTGTGTGTGTATGTAACAGTAATAAGAAAGTGTGAATTTGAGAGGGAGTGGGGGACATAGGAAGAGTTGGAGGAAGGAGGAAGGTAAAAATGATGTGCAAATAGTAATCATGGCACATCTTTAATTCTAGCACTTGGGAAGCAGAGGCAGGCAGATCTCTAAGTTTGAGGCCAGCCTGGTCTACAGAGTGAGTTCCAGGACTGCCAGGACTGTTATACAGAGAAACCCTATCTTGAAAAAACAAAAAAAGTAATCATATATGAAATCCTTAAAATAGAAAGAAAGAAAGAAAGAAAGAAAGAAAGAAAGAAAGAAAGAAAGAAAGAAAGAAAGAAAGAAAGGAGAAGAGAAGAGAAGAGAAGAGAAGAGAAGAGAAGAGAAGAGAAGAGAAGAGAAGAGAAGAGAAGAGAAGAGAAGA